GCGCGGGTACCGCGGGCCCAGCCTGGTGGCCTCGCTCGGGTCCGCAGACCTTGCCCGCCCTCCCATGGCCCCGCCCCGTTCTGGGCCCGGGCCCCGCCCTCCCATAGTACCGCCCCCGTTCCGGGACCGGGCCCGCCCGACGTGGCCCCGCCCCATTCTGGGCTCAGGACCGCCCTCCCATGGTACCACCCTCGTCCCGGGACCGGGCCCGCCCTCCGTGGCCCCGCCCCATCTCCGGGCCCCGCCCCCGTCCGAGACCGGGCCTGCTCTCTGTGACCCCGCCCCGTTCTGGGCCCGGGCCCGCCCCCGGGGCCCCGCCCCATCTCCCTCCGGGCCCCGCCCTCCCTCGGCCCCGCCGACGCCTGGTTTTCGCAGAGCCCTCCGCCGATCTCCTGGTGAACCTGAGCCGCTGTCGACGCCTCATCGTGGTGCTGTCGGAAGCATTCCTGGGCCGGGCCTGGTGCAGCCACAGCTTCCGGTGGGTCCCGCGCAGGGTGGGGTGGGCCCCCGCCTCGTCCCCTCCCTGACGGTCCCGCCCGCGCAGGGAGGGCTTGTGCCGGCTACTGGAGCTCACGCGCAGGCCCATATTCATCACCTTCGAGGGCCAGAGGCGCGACCCCGTGCACCCCGCGCTCCGCCTGCTGCGCCAGCACCGCCACCTGGTGACCCTGCTGCTCTGGAAGCCCGGCTCCGTGGTGCGGAGAGGGGCGAGGGGAGGGGCGCCCTAATGGGGATGGTGGTACCGGGCTCCAAGGAGGGGCTTCTCCGTGGGCAGCTCTGTGGTGTGGGGACTTGTGGATGGGACCCCGTGGGGGTGAGGGTTCTGTGGCCTGCTGCCCAGAAGAGGGGCCTCTTTTGAGGCCCCTGGAGCCAGGTGAACACATGCCTCCAGGTGTGCTCTTTGGGGCCAAGGCCACCAGGCTAACAGCCCAGTCCTGGCCCCCAGGCGCCTTCTTCAGAGTTTTGGAAGGAGCTGCAGCTGGCACTGCCACGGAAGGTGCGGCACAGAGCCCTGGAGGGAGACCCCCAGACCCGGCTGCAGGGTGACAAGGACCCCATGCTGATCGTGCAAGGCCACCTGCCCGAGGGTCGCACCCTGCACCTGGAGCTGGACCCCGACCCTGAGGGGGACCTGGGTATGCCCCCCTGGTCCCACCCCGACCCTGAGAAGCTTGGCCTGGGGCGGAGGGGGTGCACGGGGCTGAGGAGCCCAGAAAGGGGTCCAGGTGGCGGGGACTTCCTCCCTGCAGCCCATCGGTGGGCTTGACCCCCAGCACACCCTCACTGCCTCCTTCCCGGAGGCACGCGGACCCAAGGCCTGCCTGGGAATCTCCAGGACCTCAGATGCCACTATGCAGGAGGGTGAGCAGGGAGTGACCCGCATTCATGGGTCCTAGCAGAAGTCAGGCTGTGGACAGCCCAGCCTCAGGCCTGGTGGTACCCTCTTCCCAGGTGTCCGAGGGCCTATCTTTGGGGAGCCATCAGCTCCACCCCATGCAAGTGGGGTCGCCCTTGGAGAGGGCCGGGGCAGCGAGGTGGATGTCTCGGACCTCGGCTCCCGCAACTACAGTGCCCGCACGGACTTCTACTGCCTGGTGTCTGAGGATGACGTGTAGCCTGCACCCGCCGGAGCGTCAGGATCACCAAGGACAGCTGGGTGCAGGGCGGGGTGGGGTTTTTCTCCTCTCAGCAGGACTACCAGCCATGAGACCTGGAGGGAAGTGGGGGGACTCTAGTGTGCCTCCTTGTGCCAGAAAATAAAGTCCTTTTAGATCCTGCCTGAGCCTCAGCCTCTCCTCTCCTGGGGCAGGAAGGGGCACGTCCATCTCAGGGTCTCCACGGCCCTCAGCCCCTCCCCTTCCTCATCCCCACGGCCACCCAGTCACAGGTCTGGCTGTCCACGCAGTCCCGCCCTCTCTCCAACCTCCATCCTGAGCCAGCTCAGACACATCTCTTAACAGTAGCCTCCTTGGGTCTCTCTGCTTGGGGGCATGACGGTCCCCAGCCCCGCTCTGATCCACACAGGTCCTGGAGGAGGGGCAGGCCCCTTAGAGTCTGCAGGTTCTGAGCTTTGCAGAAGAAGCCTTTTGTTGTAAAAATGTGAGTGGGAGGGAGCTTCACCACCAAATGTCCTGGTTTGGTGAGATGGGTTCCCACGGCTCAGTCAGACGGTGCGAGTCCCTGGTCAGGACACCCCCAGGCCCGGCGAGGCAGGGCAGAGACAAGTGTTGGGTGTGGACGGCCCAGCAGGGCAGCACCTCAGCCAGGGGAGGTCACAGCTCTCCCAGGAGTGGCCACCCCTCTGCACACACGGTCCCCAACACCGCTGCGTTTGTGCCTCGGTTGGCCCCTGGGCTGCCTCTGCTGTCTGCCCTGGTCCCTCCAGTTCTCTCCCCACTGGATACTCTTGTCCTGGTCCTGGGCATTCTGACCTGGAGAAGCATCTGAGTGACTCGGGGTGAGTATCATCAGGGGCAGGCACGGCTATGCTCAGGGACGCTGCTGAGTCCCTGGCTTGGACCCCCAGGTCGAGCCAGCCGAAGAAACTTGCAGGGCTGTGTCCATAGCTATCTTTATTCCCAGCACTGGCAGTTCACCACCTCCGCCCAATGACCCGGTCACCACCCCACACACCGAGCAGCCTCAAGCCCTGCCCTACCCCTGCCCTATAGAAGCCAAATCCCTAAAACAGCACCCCCATGCCCTCCCTGGTGCCTGGGCCCCTGCAAAGTGGCACACGGGGCTCCCGTGAGAGGCCCCGGGCCATCAGCCTTCTCCGCCAGGCTGGCCAGCGAGCAGCGCAGAGCTGAGCCTATCCCTTGGAGGCTAGGCGACGTTGCATCCTCCTCCAGGAAGGCCTCACCTATGGGCCCAGGAAGTCCTCCTTTCGATAGCCTTTCTGCAGTGAAGAGGGGGGCCCAGAGTCAGGGTTCCTGCCCGCGGGCCCTGTGGTCCCCATGCCCCACTCCTCCCTGGGTCTCTGGTCTCCTTTCTCACGTTCCCCACTTCCCGAGTCTCCTGTTCCACGTGAGTTGCCAGGTCTGTTCCCTGCCACCCGATGTCCCGCCCCCGGGTCCGGCCCTGCCTGCCCTGGGTCGCCAGAACGTACCGCCCGGAAGTCTCGGTGGAGCTTGCTGTATTGCCACAGGTTGGCCAGGAGGCTGGAGGCTGCTCGGGAGGACTTCTCGCTGTCGGGGCTGGGGTGGGGCGGGAGGGCAGGGGTCAGCAGGAGGACAGGCTGGGCCGCGAGGGAGGGTGCCGGAGGGGCCTCACCTGTCCCGCTTCTTCTTGATGAAGACTAGCTTTCGGAGCCCGTCAAAGTAGAGCAAGTCTCGGGCAGCGATGGGACTGGCCACCACCAGGTTGTTGAGCACGGCTATGATGTTGACCAGCACGTCGGCGGGGGGACACTTCTCGCCCACGCTGCCCGGCAGCTTCTCGATCAGGTGACTCACCACCTTGGTGGCTGCCGGGAGGCCGGGAGGTGGGGAGGTCAGGAAGGCAGCCTCCGCTCCTGGCCGCCCGCCCACCCCCCGTTCCGCACCCCCCATCTATCCGCTCGGCTCTAGCTTGCCAGGGGCTCGCCCAAACGGGCAGCAGGAAAGAAACCCCAGGTGTGAGCCCAGCTAGGCAGGGTGAGGGCAGAGCCCGGGCTGCGGGGTGGCCTGACTCACACATCTCGTCCTTGTTTCTGGCATTCCGAGACAGGTTTCGGATGAGACCAGTCAGCGAGCGGAGCTGGTGGTGGTCAGCGGTCCGAACCCGGTCCAGCAGCGGGTTCAGGACGCGCTCCTGCTCTAGGGCCAGGCGGCTCAGCACGCCCGCCCACTGCGGGTAGGAGAGGAGCTGGTGAGCGCCGCGGGTTGGGGCTCTTCTCTGTCCCCGTCCCTCTCCCTCCCCAGAACCCTGAGGCAGGACTGGACCCCACTGTCTCTCACCTGCTCTGTTCTTTCTGCTTCTGCCCTCACAGCCCAGCCAGGAACCTCATCACGTGTGACTTGGGTCAGCCCCTTCTCAGCTCACGCCTCTCCCTAAACCCTCAGGGATCCTGGGGGCCTGTCCCGTCTGGGACACTGGCCTCACACTCCTGGCTGCCCCTCCTGTCCCCTGCCTCTCGCACC